AGTGGGGCCGAGTGGGGCTGCGTGCAGTAGGGCACGTGGACGGTGGGGCCGTGCGCACAGTAGGGCACGTGGACAGTGGGGCCGCGTGCACAGTGGAGGTGCGTGCAGTGGGGCACGTGGACAGTGGGGCTGTGCGCACAGTGGGGCCACGTGCACAGTGGAGCTGTGTGCAGTGGGGCCGTGCGCGCAGTAGGTCACGTGGACAGTGGGGCTGTGTGCAGTGGGGCTATGTACACAGTGGGGCTGTGCGCACAGTGGGGCCGCATGCAGTAGGGCATGTGGACAGTGGGGCCGTGCGCACAGTGGGGCACGTGGACAGTGGGGCATGTGGACAGTGGGGCCGCGTGCAGTGGCCCACATGCACAGTGGGCTGTTTGTGGTGCGACCACGTGTATAGTGAGGCACGTGGACAGTGGGGCTGCATAGGACTTCCCAGCAGCTGTTAGCGGGCACCCGAGGAGATGGAGGCAGGGGCTCAGGGTCACTACCGCTCACCCATAAGCACCCTGGTGGGGAAGCGGGCCGCCGACAGCGCCTAGGTGCGCCCTGGGACCGGCCGCTGTTGGTGGGTACAAGGTTCAGGCTGGCGGTGGCGCACTGTGTCACTTACACAGTGACAGACTCTTTAAACAGCAGGGGCCGCTGCTGACAGGGCGAACTTGACGTGCGTTCTGTGTGGAAGGGCTGTCCTCTCGTCGTGGTGGCCGTACCCGCGACTCAAGTTCAGGAAGGACACTCATGCGTGAGCAGATATGTGTCAGTAACCCACCGTCACGGAAGAAACCCAGTCAGAGCTCACAGTCGCAATGAAGTACCAGGGACGGTGACGCAGTGGTTTCAGTTTTTTTCTTTTCCAGTCTCATCACCTTTTTATTTGTTGGCAGAATACTTAAAAGATGAATAATGCACCCAACCAATAGTATAATAATACCTTTAAATTTGAAAATGCCAAGTATTATAACCAGTTTACCATTTTCTAGTCCCTTCTCTGGATTTCCTTCACTAGGCTGCTTACTCACCTTTGTCCCCTCCGAGGGCCTGGCACAGGCAGGGCTGTGTCCTTCCCTGAACTCCGAGGGTCCAGGTGTCAGTGCGTGGGAACCTAGCGGGTGGACGCCCAGTGCCCACCTGCCTCTCTGTCCTTAGCAGCTTGAGTAGTGGTCTGGCTCCAGCAAGCCGAAGGCGCTGCGTTTCCTCTGTGTTACATCGGCCGTGTTTTACCTTGTTTTTGGCCTCGAGTTTGCGAGCTCCCTGGCTTTTCGTCCACCGTCCTGTTTTTCTGGGTTCATTGAGTCGTACACACGTGCTGCTTTTTCTCATGCCGAGAAGGAAAGCTCCATGATGGGTTAGAGGACTTAAAAGCACGAAGCTGGGAAGCGGAGGGTGACAGGTGCGGCATACTGTAGAAGCGGGAAGCCACATGTGGGATCTGAGGGGCAGCACGAGGACAGGCAGGAGCAGAGAGACGGTGGGGAACAGGCAGAGGCATTGGAGGAGGAAGAACTAGGAAGTTACGCAAAGGTGGTAGAGCCCCCCCTGACACCCAAGAAGACAGGTAAATACGGCATTTGTGTAACCACAGCGTTTCACTGCGTGATGAGACATGCTTCACATCACAGGGAACAAGACACGCCGCTTTGAGTAGCTGACATACAGCGTTACATTAGTTTCCGGCACACAACACAGTGATTCAGTGTTTTATCTGTATTGCAGAGTGATCACCATGATGGGTCTGTAGCATCCATGGCCATACAGTTACCAAACTTTTAAATTCACGTTTGGAGGCCTGTACAATCCAGAGGATCCTATGATTTTTTGACAACCTCAAATCATGAATGATATTTTCATACATAAATTGCTTTGTTTTTAAGGTTTCATTGTTAAGTCCCGCCATTTGTAATTTGATGATGAAGTGTTGGATTTTCCAATACAGAGGAAACCACTTTTCCAAGCAGAGGAAACCATTTTGGTTGTAAAAAATAGTAAACTGTGCAAATAGACATATTTTGATTTCCTGTCCTTTCAGCTTTTAATGCTTTTTTTTTTTTTTTAAGTTACTCGTAGTTTAAGACAGTAATGAATAAAGTAATTGACTTTCCCTGACACCATTAAGCTTGTTAGGCAGGAATAGTCTGTATTGCCCTCTGTTGGTGATTAATAGTTATTTTTGACAAAGTAATTGCTGCTATATGTGTCATTTATATCTATTTAATAATCGTATCAACCAGTATGTTTTATAGGAAAGCACTTTTAAAAACTGACCCAAGAGTTATGGCCATAAATCAGCGAAAGGGAAAATGAGATTTCGGTCATCTTGACGTAATAGTTTTATTGACTAAGGTAGTGTGGAAACACTTCTGCCTTTGATGAACTTTTCTTTCTCTCTCTTTTTTGTTTTCTTGTCAGAGCCCCGCCTCAGATACGGCGTCCCAATCGGGAAGTGAGACCTCTGAGGAAAGAGATGCCAGCGGCTGGAGCCCGGGGCCCTGCAGGCCGAGCACACCCCACAGCGAGGAGCGACAAGCCCGCCAGCGGCAGGGACAAGGAGTGCAGAGCGCGTGCGAGGGATGACAAGGCGAGCGGTCTCTTTGTAACTCACCCCCTCGGAGCCCGTGGCTTCCGCTGCGGAGTGGAACTGTCGTTGGCTTTTCAGAGTACCCTGCTGTTGACACAGAAGAGATTTTAAAAAGTCTGAATTAGAAACCTTAGCGGGCCGTGTACTTCGAAGGCTGGTCAGCAATCCCAGCCACCTCAGAGATACATTAAAAAAATGCACACACCCAAACATTTAGTAAAATGGATCTTTTGTAGAAATAGTCACAGTAAAATTTTAAAACTTCAGTACATGCTAACACTTATTTTGAATCAAAATGGATAATAGGTGAAAACACAATCGCAGGAGAAAGACATAAGGAAGTAGATCTGTGTATTCACAGAATGAAATGATGAGTATCATTTACTACTGCTAAAAAACATCTTTGATTTAACTCTGAATTTCAGAGTAGGACAAGATTTGCTTTTCTTCCTTAATGAGAAAATTCTCCCCGGTTAGGCTTCATCATGTACACTTACCTGGGAAACTGACTGGTGAATAAACACAGTTCTGGGTGGGAATTCTGGACTGCTCTTAACATGGGCTTCAGAAAAATGGGCCGAAGATGATCTCACAGAGAAGGAGTGAGCCAGGGTGATCTGTCACATCTTGTGACCTTGATTTTAATTAAAAGACAAATAAATTTTTAGTGATAACATTTCCCATTTTCGTTATGATGTCATAAAATGCATGCTGCTATTGATTTGCCACAGAGAAGTTTTATTTTACTAGCACGGGGTTCAGGATGTGTCATCACGTTTATGCCCTGATGTTCATACTGAAGGTATAGCCAGTAACACGTGGTTATCCTTCAAGATGATGTTTGAGTATCTTTACTGTGTATAACTCCAGTCAGTAGATGAGGACTCCACACAGCCCCGCTTCCCAGTAGTTCCAATGAGGAAGATTCAAGACGTTCTGCTTCTCTGCTTCATGAGGACACTGACAACGAATTAGGTTTTTTCCTTGTTTGTAATTTGTTGAAGCTTTATGCCATAAAACCGAGTGGTTTCATCTCAGATCCTTTTGGTTAGTGAGAGTTACGAATACATTTTCCCGTTGACAAAATTGAACTGGTTCTCCCCCCTTATCAAAAGCCACCTAAATGGATACCTAAAAATCTGTCTTAGGCATCACCTTTGTTTCTTCCTCTGCTCTTCATTTTTGTGCAGCTAACCTTGGTGTGCGCTTGAGAGAATAAAGTAGGAGCTGAACGAAGTCCCTCCCTCGCTCTGCGAGATGCTTTTAGGGGAACTCGTGGGACTGGGCGAGGAACTGTCAGGCTTCGCTTCCTTTCACGTGACACGAGAGCAGAACCCTGGTTGTGGCCTGTGGGTGCGTCTCTGCAGGCACACAGAGTGATTAGACAGTCACTCAACAAACAGGCCCTCGGAGCAGGGAGGCATCTTATCCTCATTTTACAGATGAAGAAACTGAGGCAGCGCTAAGGGAGTTGTGTACGGTCACAGAGTAGGGACTGGAGCTTGGAGGGAAATCTGTGAATTCACAGATCTTTTTTTGTCTATTTCAGGATTTTTCACACTATATAGTATCCCTACCAAATTAGATTAAAAATCTGGATTGGATTTGAAAAGAGTCCCAGGACAATTAAGGAAACGTTGATTTTTAAATGTGATTCTTAAAGAACAAAACAGGCAGCATTTGTTTGAATGTCAAATAAAATTTTCTGGAGATGTTAATTGTTTTTTATTAAAAAGTTCCAAATAATTTTCTAAATCTTACCTATTTTTCATAGACCTTTACGTACTCAGAATGTCACTGGAAAGGAAGCCCTTTATTATAAAAACTAAGCAAAACTCTACAGTTGTTTGAGGATAAAAGATTTTCTGAGTCACTCTGGAAACAAAGGGACCACAACTGAAGAACGTTCACAGAACCGCCATTAGAATATGAAAGGTGTACTTGGTTCCATTATGATCATTATAGGCAATTAGCATATCAGAGTCCCTAAAACTCACCGAGGGCTGCGACAGGGCTTGAGACAGTCGACAGGGCTTGAGGCTGTCAGATAGCCACTGCCACGCGGTGAAACTGACAGATAGCCACTGCCACCGAACGTGATTCGAAAATGAGGATCGGAAGGGTCCTCAGGGATACTTTAGTCCCTGGTGTCGTTGGCTTTTAAAAATCAGTTTTGCGCGTTGCAAGCAGTTTACAGAGCGAATGAAGTGGAGTAGGTTAGAAAATTCAGAGTGCACCGCCCAGAGTAAGGACGGTGTTGTTCGGAGGACGTAAGTGGTATGAATACTAACAATTCAGGTCTGTAACTATGTCTACACTAGCTCATGATCTGAAACGAATTTGCTCCTTTGTGTCATGGCCGGAAGGTCTGAAAGCTGCTGCTGTACTCCAGCCACCTAACTATGAGTACAAAACGGGGAGGCCGGGAGAAATTAGAGGTCTCGCCGAAAGTCTCGGTGTCTGTGGATGTAGTTGATGCTGTGAGCCGCGTGCCGGAGCCACAGACAGGCGGTTCCCTTCCTTGAGCACACTTAACCTGCACCAGGCCCGTTCGGAAGCTTTGTACCTGTTGGCTTATTTAGTGCCTATAAATAGCCGTGACTTAGCATCATTTTTCTGTCCTATGTATGAAGGAAATTGAGAACCATAGTCATGACTGAAGTGGGCGGTGGGACGAGGACTTGAACTCGGGCCCTGATACCTGACCGACTTTTAATCATAGGCTCTCCAGCCTCTTATTTGCAGAGGCTCGCTATCTTATCTTACTGTATCACGAACACTTATTTCTTACAGGAGTACCAGTTCATTTCCTGAAGGCGGTTAAGTCATTTCTTTTTTTCAGACTGGTGACAGGCTTCAAGTTAGGTCCAAGCTTAAGAGTGCTGTTTTTCAGTAAGAGTCACTTTGCATGATGATCTTTTTTTCTGTCATTTTGGTCTTACCCCGTGGTGTGCAGAGTCATCATAGGCTAGTTTGTTACCCCGTCTACTTAACGCGCCTGTATTAATAAGTGTGTACTTTGTGTGAGTCACACTTCTAGGTTCTTGGAATACAAACTAATGAGAGGGACTCCTGGCCCCAAATCGATTATATTCTTGTTGACGAGAAGGAGTCAGATGAATAAATGAACCTTTACAGCTATATTTTTTCATCTTATTTGAATGTACCTGAGAAAATTGGATATAGCGTTATTGTACTATTTAAGCCTAGAGTCGGGGTAGAAATGTACATAGAAATAAATGCATTTTTTATTTAAAAAGAATAGTCTAAAAATAAAAGATCAGGTAGCAGAAAAAATTTTTTTTTAATTATTACGAAACATAAATTTGAGTCATTCAACTCTGATTCTCAAGTATTTTTTTGAGACTGTGGCTTTCTGGTTAATTGCCTCTCAGTGACATGAGCCGTGCTTTTACTGTGATCTTCTGATTAAAGCTGTATGTGCTTTTAAATGTAATTCAGAGTAAAGTGTAGTGAGTTATATTATTTCACGTACAGGACTTCATTTCATTGAATTGCTCATGGCACATGGCCATTTTTGAATACGTTCGTTCTCAGGAGTAAGCTCGCCCAGGGAGGTCTGACACTCCCCTCGGAGACTGTCTCACACACACACAGACACACACATTCACACTCACACATACTCACATCGACTGACACACACTCACAACCGACACACTCACACTAATGGCACACACACTACTGACATGACTGACACACTCACACACTACTGACACACACTCACAAAA